TGTGGCTTTGTTTTTATTTGGGGGGGGGGGGCGAGAGAGACAGAAAAATAAATGGAGGAGATAGGGAAGTTGACAATTGACACTGGTGATGCTGACATCCTAATGCTCTCCAAATCTACAGGTAGTCCTTGACTTATGATCACAATAAGGACTGGAAGATTAATCGTTAAGCAGTATGGTCATTAAGAGAAGTATCACATGTCTGCCCCCAGTTTTACAACCTTTTTTGCTGTGGTCATTAAGCAAATCACACAGTCATTAAGTGAATCACATGATTCCCCATTGACTTTGCTTGTTGGAAGCTGGCTGGGAAGGTCACAAATGGTGATCACTTGACCCCGGGATGCTGCAATCATCATAAATACATGCCAGTTGCCAAGGGCCTGAATTTTGACCACCTGACTGCAGGGATGCTGCCACAGACATAAGTGTGAGGACTGGTACCATCATAACTTTGAACAGTCGCTAAACGGTCGTAAATCAAGGACTACCTGTATACAGAACTCACAAAATTCCTAGCAGTGCTGATTGGAATTCTGGGAAATCAAATCTCTGTATATTTGAAAATCTCCAGGTTAGAGAAGGCAGTCTTAGCTACTTCGGACATATATGTGGCAATTCTGCAGATGTAGTTGGAATATGTATCTAAGATGCAATACCCAAAAGCTCAGCTTTCACTTGAGAAAAAGTTACAAAAAGAAAATTGAAAACAAATTGATTGCTTTTATTGGAAACATAGAAAAAAGGGACTAGGAGATAAAGAACTGATATCACAGATAACTGCTTCTCCCAAGCCCTAGCCTGTGGATCAGTAATACAGCATCCACAAGGTGGGAGCGAATGGGGAAAGACAGGCCTTGGAGTATGATCTGACGATAGCACTGAAGTCTAGGTCAAGGTTACTGATTCCTGTCCTATCTTTATCTCTTTATAAGATCAAATAATTAGTATAAAGAGATTTTTTGTGAACTCCAGTAATTTTTGTTTTGGTTTCTGCAAAATCAAATTAATTTAAAGAAATAACAAAACAATGTTTCTTAAAGTATGTATGAAAATATCTTGCAGGCCTGCCTTATTTGCATAACTTGTCACAGTCATTCAAATTGTGGTATTTGGGTGTAGTGTTTTAGAGATTTGAGTACAGAGTCATATCTTATGAATCATTCCTGATTTTGTTCCAGGAAGGAGGGTGCCTCTCTTTTTGGCCCAGTTTGGGCTTCCTTTAAAGTAGGGATGAAGAATTTGTGACCCTGAATTCCCAGCAGCTTATCCCAGCATGTCCAGTGGGGGAGAATTTGAGAGTTGTAATTCAGCCAAATCTGGAGGGTCTAAAGCAGTGTTTTTCAACCTTGGCAAATTTAAGATGTGTGGATTTCAACTCCCAGAATTCTTCAGCCAGGAATTCTGAAAGTTGAAGTGCACATATCGTAAACTTGCCAAGGTTGAAAAACACTGGTCTAAAGTTTCCCCATCCCTCATTTTAAAGGAAATAATTTTTTCCATGTGTTCCTGCCAATCCACAAACTATTTTTCTTGTTCTTTGTATGTTTTTCTGAAATGGTAATGTATTCTGAGTGGGCTTAACTTGGTGGTTCTTGAATTGGAACAAACAGATAATCAATCTCACTGTATACTTGATATTACCCAATTTCTTTTGTGACTTATGTCTGTAAGAACCTCCCTGTGATTCTTTATCTCTGTAGACCAAAGATGTCCAGAAGGCTATGGATGAGAAAAGGTTTGATGAATCTATCCAGCTCAGAGGCAGGTGAGAGCTATCTCTGAATCTGAGAGGAGATTGAATTTCTTTTATCTACTTGTAGAGGTTCTTCAATGTGAATGAAAAAAGAGAAGGCAAAACATCTTCAAGATGCTGCAGATCTTCACACTGTAGAAGCTCCCTGGTCTTCTCTGTTCATTAAAGCACTCTAACACCTAATGGTTAAAGTGCTGGACTAGGAACAGAGAAACCCAAACTCTGCATTAGGCACAAAAGCCAGCTGAGTGGCTTTGGACCAGTCACTTTCTCTCAGGGCTAGGAAGAAGGTAACAGCAAATCACTTCCAAAGATGTTACCAAGAAAACAAGTCCATGCAGTCACCAAGAGCCAAGACTGACTCAAAATCGCCCCCCAGTCATATAAATATTCAGCATCTCCCTTACACTCCCCACATTATCTACAGCTGGAGGAAATCTCTGTGCATGGATCTGTCCTGGACTGATGTTATTATTTCTGTATTCTCTTTTCTAGCTGAACCTGACTTGATAATAAATAGTGATATTTAAATAGTGATATTACCAATTAAATAGTGATATTGCTAAACATATTGAAATATTAGACATTTAATCTATTGACCAATATTCTTCTTTTTTTTTTAATTGGCTAGAAGAAATTTCACAGTTATACCAGAAAATTCAGTTTCCTTTCTACTTCAAACCTGTTTTGCTTTGGCTATGGGAGAAAAGTGCTCAGTCACTGGATTTCTCAATAGGCATATAATGTTATAGAAGGGATCCCTAAACATTTTAGGCAGAACAGGAGTTTTTAGAACATATTATGGGCGCTTTCACAAAAACCTATATGGTCTGGCCAGTCACAAAACATCCATTTGCCAATCCTAACCCTAACCGGCTTTCTAGCATTCCAGAATATTGTCTACCATCCCGGCATATATCTGTGTCTGCCTCCCGCCTCTCTGTACCCCCAGACAAACAAAAGCACTGGGTTGCAACCCCTTGTCTTTTTTATTTATTTTTAACACAGAAACGTTAAATATTCTTGGAAATATGGATTACACTTGACCTGCCACTTTGCTTTTGTTTCTATTTTTCAAGATAAAAATCTTTTAAAAAAGAAATAAGCTGAGGTCTAGAGCAGAGTGTACATCAAAGGAAGTGGTGTGTTGGCACATTGGTATTCATGGATGCCACACTGAAACTGGAAAGAAGTTACTCATGTAGTTGCACTATAGAATCCTCTTGTTCAGTGTTATGGCCAGAATATATTCTATATTGCTCTTCTCTTTCTCCTCCTGGATAGGCATACCCAGCCCACACTCCATAGCCTTGAACATGCTCAGTTCCAACTGACTATTTGGTGGAACCTTTCCCCTCTACTGTTTTTTTCCCTAAATAGTTTTTATATTTCTGAAAATAGTGGGCATTTCCAGAGTTTAATGACATAGTTTTCTTGTGTGAGGGTAGAATTATTTTAGCTATTTAAGGAGTGTCAGACACTAAACACTGGAAATTGAATGATTTGACATAGTATCGTCAGTCTTTCAAGTAAATCTTTGACGTCTAAGAAAAGAACTTCAAGCTGATGCTATTTCCTGTCTCCAATAAGAAATCTTTAAAGCAATTAAAACAGACTGAAAATTGAGATGATTATCAGCTAGACTATTTTAAAACATGATATAGCTTATTAAGGAAATGACACATTGCAAACTGAATAAAACAAATTAGTAATTGTTTCCGTATTCTTAAAATGATCTTGCTGGCCAGGGAGTCTGAGGAGAAATAATTAGAGCCTTTTTTCTGAGAATATGGATAATGTTTCTGTGTGTAAATATAGTCTTAAAAGATTAAGGATTTTCTTCAGCAATGTGGTGGAGAATTCAATCACGAAAAATGTGAAAAGTTTCCATTAGCCTGCACTTTTGATTTCTAAGGAAAAGCTGAAATGCATAGAAATTATTTTATTTATTTATTTATTTATTAAATTTTTCAACCGCCCATCTCCCCCC